CTTAACTTTATACAGAACTGCAACAGATTTTGCCATTTTTGTTAAATAAGTTATATGAGATCTCCATGTCAGTTTTTCGTCAATGACTCCCAAAAACTTCACCTCACTGACTGCAAATTTCAACACCCTCTACTCTAAAAGGAACATCATTTGTTTTCTTTCTATTACTAAATATCATGTAATTAGTTTTATCCGAATTTAATGATAATTTATTATGATTAAACCAATTTTGTACTTTTACAAATTCCATTTCCAGCATCTGTTCTGTTTTTACCCAAGCAAAAAAATGTGGTGTCGTCTGCAAATAAAACACATCTAAACAACCCTGATACATTTACCAAGTCATTAATATATAGAAGAAATAACTGTGGTCCCAATATAGAACCCTGTGGAACCCCACGTATAATATTACAAAGTTCAGACCTTACGTCATTAATTTGTGCAAACTGTTTCCTATTAGTTAAATAACTTGATTCCCATTGTAGTGCTGGACCTCTTATGCCATATTTGTTTAATTTCTCTAGAAGGATATTGTGGTCAATGGTATCAAAAGCTTTTTTTTTAAAATCAACAACAAATTTTCCTCAGATCGAACTGATTATTGGATTCGTAGTATTTCAAATCAAAAAGCAGGTGTCTGAATATATAAAGGGAAGCTGCCCCACATGTTGACCGGCAGATTATCAAAATAAAATCCCCCTTTTCTGTGATGTTTGCTTTTTATAATGTTCAGTCGTGCAGCATCTGATTTCTAGTATTTTCCGTCAACTGTTGCACATTTATGTTGTCAGCTCGTGATAATAAACTTATATTGTTCTGACAAATTTTCCCTGATTCAAAGCGACACTTCCCATCATCGTTAAAATGTATTTTTAACTCCTCCCTGGTCTGTCGTGACTTATAGTTGGCTGACGGAAAAGGAAAAACACCCAATTTTACTCAGGTTTGTTTTTTCTACTATTTACTAGGGCTGTGTATTGGCAATAATTTGGCGATACGATACATATCATGACAGAGGGGTCACGATACGATATATCCCGATATATTGCGATACTATAAGCAAGGCAATATATTGCGATATATTGTGATGTTTTTTGTCCAAAAATTATATTAAATAAAAACCTCTTACAGGGGGAAAAATGAAAAAACAAAATTCATTGTCTCAGAAAATTCTAATATTACRTAGACAWRCTTTTGATACATTTAGCTGTGTTCTGCTTTATATGTATTTTATTTTATTTGTATCATATTTCATCCATGTTTTCAATTATTAGACTAAATTTTGCCAATAAATAGTTTGAAAATATATTTTTTGCAGCTTTTAGTTTTTAATATTAATTTACAATACGGTCACCCAACACTTAACAATAGCCTCTACCTCAAGAGGTAGAGGAGCCAAATGGCTGGCTCACTGCTGCCAACTAGTGGTCAGAGGCTGAACTACAACATAAAAATGAACGGCTGGCAGGAAAGTTGACATTTTAAACCTTAATAAAAAATCGATACAGGGCTTTAGAATATCGATACAGTATCGGGAAATGAAATATCGCGATATTTCGGTGTATCGATATTTTCTTACACCCCTATTATTTACCAGTAGAAAAGCAGGAATATTTGATGGTTAAAGTGAGTTTCTGGTGTCAGACATGTTTTTATTTTCCAGGCTCCCATTCCTAGAAGTCAAAAACGGGTAAAGGTCTGGGCTGGGTTAGTCAGATCAGATAAATTGGAGATAAATTTGCAAGAATTGGTGATTTTGCTTTAATAGTTGCAGTTGCTGCATCGCAGTTTCTCAGAGGAAGAAACTAGAGACGCGAGTTCCGGCTTGGACTTTTTAAAATTTAAAGTTCAAAGTACAGCAACACATCAGATATTTAGAAATGATGGTTTGATGTCATTTTTAAATCAGATTGTGTGTCAGTTTGAGTGCTGAGTTGTTTCTTTTGTGGAAGCACCTCCTCCATCCTCCTGGTCCTAGAGTGGACAGACTGCAGCCATCAGAGGTGTTTTTCTAATGGTTTCACCTCCTGCAGCAGGATAATGGTTCAGTACCAGCAGGATTCAGTCTCTCTAAAGACCACTCTGTCAGGTAGAGGTGTGTTTCTGATCATCTGAAGCCACCCCACCTGGGGCCGATTACACCAGCAGAGAAAGTGTGTCTTCTGTATAATTTTGCACTCATTAGCTGTTCTTTTTCTTCCTCTGGCTCCGTGCAGACTAATTTATAATAATAAAACACCGCAATTAAATAAAAATATGGACACTGGAAAATATTTTTTTGGGAAATAATTTGATTTAAATAAGAATTGCCCACAGAACACCTGCAGCTCCACAGCTGCTGAACAGTTTGCTGTGTTGCTTCTTAAATAATCTTTACTGAAGTAAATTGTGTGGAAGGTGCACGTCACGTGCACGCAGCCTTCAGTTAATCGATGCTTTCGTTTGGGGTTTTTACTTTAGCTGAATGTCAGCTGTGAAGCACCCAGCATCATCGCTGGAGCAAAAGCAGCAGCAGCTCCAGTGTGACATTGAATTTCACACAACATTAAACATTTGGTCATCTTTGACAAAAGAATCACAAACTTTTCTCTCTGGCCGCTTTTTCGAGACGCCTCCCTGCCTGACAGCCGGACCGACGCTTTAAATGAACGCGTACCTTTTCCACACTTTCTCTGTGTTTCATGTCTCATGACTGCGGCCTTGAATGCTAAATGAGGGTCGGTGGAGCTAACGTTCTGCTGCACAGTCGCGTCGTGTTTTTAGCCTCAGGCATCGTATGTCTTCACAAGGACACACGGACTGACACCCTGAAAAGGGAAAGTGTCATTCACATGCAACGAACAAAAAAATGGTCAACGAGCATCAGGCAGCAGTCAAATGATGATAAATCAGCAGCTGTTTTCTTTTTATTTCTAAGAGTTTAGTTTGTTATAAGCAGTGCAGGTCAAATGAAAGCAAAGAAATGAGAAATCTTCTGCGTTACTAGAGGTGTAACTAATAATCTAAGTTATGATTCAGTACATTTTTTAGTCTGAGGCTCACTGTTTGGTTTGGTACAAGACAAAGAAGCAAATATGAAGTGCTGGTGTTTTTGTTTTGAACAGTTAATAACTCTCCCAGAGACAGAAAATCAAACCACTCATCGTCTAATCTTTGTACCCATCCTGAACATCACACGTGTCGTCACAATAAAGGGGCTATATCATGTAAAACCAACTTTTTTGAGCTTTATATCATGTTATAATGTTATCCTCTCATCAAAAACATGCACAAAGTTTTACTTTGACTCATTCATGCATGTTTGAGAAATCCTGTAGTGTCCTGAGACAGCCAGGCAGGGGAGCAAAAACAACCGGTTGGAACTAGAACTGCCTTTTGGGATCAGTTCCTCCTCTGGGCTGTAATCGTGTTTCCATCCAGTTGTCGTGAATTTTTATCAAACTTTTCAAAATTCGAAAAAAAATTAAATAAAAATTAGAATCTAGTCTGTTTCCATCTAAGTTCCCTCTCGACTTGATGCGAATAAACGAAGCTACGCAACGCGTGATTACGTCAGACGAGGCTACGCAACGCGTGATTACGTCAGACGAGGCTACGCAACGCGTGATTATGTCAGACGAGGCTACGCAACGTGTGAGTACGTCAGACGAGGCTATGCAACACGTGATTACATCAGACGAGGCTACGCAACGCTTGATTACGTCAGACGAGGCTACGCAACGCGTGATTACGTCAGACGAGGCTACGCAACGTGTGATTACATCAGACGTCGGCGACAAGCTTTGCTGTAGTAAACAGGAAGTGAAACTTGCTAACTATCAGAGGCTATTCATCTCGGAAAAATAGAGCGATTTTTTTTCATGAATGCCTTGCTATTGGGCAAGTTGTAATTATTCTATCTATTCAGCTAGTACAGGCTATGTTTAACGCTGCCAGGAGACGTAGGGAAATAAACGCAATGCTAAACTACACAGCAGAAAGGCACGTGCAACTACGCCGGGACGAGGCAGGAAACGGAAACAGCTGAACGTCACGTGAGGTAAATATGCGCTACGTCAGATTTTATTCTGCAAACGTGTTTCCATCTCCCGTTTTGCGCATTAACTACTTTGCAAATCATCCAAAATCCACCTCAAGCAAGCGTAAAATCTTTTTAGCGAATTAAGGATTTTTCTTTTTCGAATTTTGCTGTTTCCATCCGACTGTTTTTCGCATTTTTAATGCGATACTTCTAAATGCGCATCAAAAAGCCTTGATGGAAACACGGTTTGTGTCTCCAAGCTGAGCTTCCTCATCACAGAGCACACACACCCACACGGCCCGTGCTGAAATGGGCGGGACAGAAGTGGAAGGAGGTTCTTAAAGAGACAGAGGCCAATTTCAAGGTGTTTAGAAACAGATATGATGAGAAGTCAAGTTTATTTTCTATTTAAACCTAAAAACAGCATTTTAATCACAACTAAAGGTGACATAGTTACTTTATTATGTTATAGTATTTAAATATATGCCTGAAAAACACATAATAAAGCCCCTTTAAACAACTGAAATGTTCTTTATTTGGTAGCCGACAGTCGTCCTATAATGTCTCCTGCTCACCGGGACTCGCTGTCATATCCCTCCCAGTTCTGGGGTCTCGGCTGGATTCTGCTCCAAATCCTTCTCTACACCTAAAAGGTGGCAGATAATCCTGCTGTAGACAGCAGCGCTGACCTTCTGACCCCTCCTATCCCTGTTTGATCCCTCAGCTCTCCTAACCAGGAGCAGCTAGCTGCACATCGCTCTCCACTGAGAACATGAGTTCTGTTTGCTGTCCCAGATCCCAGCTGATGAAAGCCTCCCTCTGGGACTTACATCAGCAAACTGAGGATTTCTTTTAATGTGTGTGTGTTGCCTCTTTACACACACTGTTCTGCTGTGTGTTGCTTTTAATCTGTGTGTTTAGGTGCTTTTAAAATAAACTGTTTGGTTCCCTCCAGTGTGGGTCTGGATCTGGGGCTTCGTGTCCATCACCATCATCAGCCTGCTGTCTCTGCTGGGCGTGGTCCTGGTTCCCATCCTCAAACAGTCCTGCTTCAAGTTCCTGCTCACCTTCCTGGTGGCGCTGGCAGTGGGCACGCTGAGCGGCGACGCGCTCCTTCACCTGCTGCCTCATGTGAGAACTGGGAAAACCCAAAAACACCCATCTGTGCTGTGTTTAGCATCTTTATCACCTCTGAAAATATTAGTGTTTGTTCGGCTTTAGTAAAGCTGGAGGTTTAGACAAAACAAACAAACCACTTTTTGTGCAGAACCAAATGTAATTTTAGAAACCCCAAAGACTGAGTTTGTGTGTGAACGTCCTGTCTGCAGTCTCAGGGACAGCACGACCACAGCCAGCACGACGGCGGTGACACAGATCTGGGATCAGAGTTTGATGGAGTGTGGAAGGGGCTCACCGCGTTGGCCGGCATCTACCTCCTCTTCATCATCGAGCACTGCATCGGCATGTTTAAGCACTACAAAGACCAGAAGGTGAGAAACATTTGATCCGGGTGTGAAAAGCTGATTAAATCAACCTTTTTAATCCCAGGAGGCTTTTCTGCTCTTTTCTGCTGATCATAAACCGGCAAGTAAAGACCCCCACATGATCACTAGGGGTGTAAGAAAATATCGATACACTGAAATATCGCGATATTTAATTTCCCGATTTTGTATAGACATTCTAAAGCCCTGTATTGATTTTTAATTAAGGTCTAAAACGTCAACTTTCCTGCCAGCCGTTCATTTTTATGTTCTAGTTCAGCCTCTGACCACTAGTTGGCAGCAGTGAGCCAGCCATTTGGCTCCTCTACCTCTTGAGCGCCAGAGAGTAAGGGTAGCATTAGCGTTGTGAGTAAACATTAGCTTCATGCTCCGATAGCTGAATCTGAGCGGAAAAGACCGACACCCTCTGCCTTAAAGCTGAGGTAAGGTTACCAACAGTTACTTATTTGTCAGAATGTCTGTATTTTAAACCAAATTAAGTGTCTCGTGCGCTCTTTTTCTAACTAGTAAACCTTCACGTTACAGAAGGCAGGCAGGCGTCTAGCGCCTCGAGCTAAAGATGCCTCGTGACAAAAAACTCTGCTCTCAGTGTCCAGCTGATCGCATCCAAGTCCATATACTTTAAGTTTATCCTGCTGTGTTCGCTTCAAAATCGGTTTTACTGTGTTGTTTAGCTTCTCCGTATATTTACTGTTTATTTTTGGAACCCACAGTTCTGCAAATCATGTTCTGGATGCAGGTCAGCTGATCCCAGAAACTCTGTGCAGCAGCTTCATATCATCTGTAAACTGAACTTTATGACAACATAAAGGCTATTGTTAAGTGTTGGGTGACCATATTGTAAATTAATATTAAAAACTAAAAGCTGCCAAAAATATATTTTCAAACTATTTATTGGCAAATTTAGTCTAATAATTGAAAACATGGATGAAATAAGAAATATGAAACAAATAAAATAAAATAGATACAAAGCAGAACACAGCTAAATGTATCAAAAGTATGTCTATGTAATATTAGAATTTTCTGAGACAATGAAGTTTGGTTTTTCATTTTTTTCCCCTGTAAGAGGTTTTTATTTAACAGAGTTTTTGGACAAAATAATCACAATATGTGACCCATCATATCAAAATGAGGATCAAGTCAAATTTGGTCAAAATGACCTAATGACATTTTCAGATTCCTGCTTTAAAAGCTACATTTTGACACCTGGATCATCCTGATTTCATAATTAAATCCATATATATGACTTAATTTGTCTTGTTGGTTACAGTAATACATAAATATTTGGTCTGAATCCTAATTTTTTGTCATTTTAATGAGGAAGTTTTGATGTCCTTATAAAGAGGAAACCTCTAATTATTTTTGAATATTGAGATTTCCCAGCTAAAAATAAACACAGCTTTGCTAACTCACAGGGAAAATCTAAAATTTTAAGGCGTTTTTCCTCAAAATCAGTTTTTTTGTTGCTACTGCTAAAAAAAGTGCTTCCAAGTTTTGTTTTATGATTATATTTCAGACAGTTCATTCAAAAGATACGTTAATAAGGCTTTTATTCATTATATTTTGACAAAATGCAATTTTTGTTAACATTTTAGTCAAAACACTAAATTTGCCCTTTTCTCCATAAACGATGTTTGGACTTAATCCTTGTTTCGATGTGATGGGTCACATATATCGCCTTGATTATGAAGGTTATGAAGATTAATAATGATTTACATAAAAACACAATGAAAACATTGTAATGACATTCTCTGTGATTTTTTTTTATACCATTATAAATCTTTAAGGCATGATAAAAGAAAAGAAGTGGTTCCCCTTTTCTTGTGACAGTCATTATCATGATTTAACAAATGCATAAACATTCTTAATTAAACAACAAATGAATCACTAACAGAAGAGATTGTTCTGTCCATTATCTGATTAAGAGAAGTGAGGGGTTCTCTTCCACGGTTAGAATGACCTGTCATGGCCTAAATAGAGTTCAGTTTGTGACAGAGTTCCTGTCCTCTCGTCAGGCCTGTCCGAGGCAGTAAATCTTATTTCTTCACTCGAGGTGACCCCTACACTTACAGTATCACAATATATCGTGATATATCGTATCGTGACCCCTCTGTCATGTAATGTACCATATCGCCAAATTCTTGCCAATACACAGCCTTAATGATCACACTGATCTGTTTCGATCCATGTATTAGTTTATCATTTGTATATTTACAAACTGTGCAGGGAAGCTGCTCAAACTAACGCTGTCATCGTTTTGAAAATCAGTCAAATTCATTTTCATGTTTTTTTTGTTCCAAGTTAAAAAAGAACCACTGCAGAGGGACCGAACAGCACGTGGCCCCAGAGCCGCAGGTTGACGACCTCTGGATGAAGCTATCATTGATGTCCTCTTTGAGTTTTGTTTTCGTTGAGGCCGTTTGAGGTTTGTGGCGTGAAGCGAGCGTCTGTAAATAGAACATTTTGCTCACAGGGCACAAAGAAGACGAGCGAGGAGGGGAAGATTGGCAGGAAGCTGTCAGATCACAAGTTAAACCGGCGCTCAGACGCAGAGTGGCTGAACCTGAAGCCGCTCGCTGAAGGTAAGAGTTTAGGTGTGCAGCGTCCCCCCACCTGCAGCTGTCACTCCTAACACCCCMCCGCTCTGATTCAGACCCAGAGAGTTCGGCCGTCTCCTGCGACAGCGCTCACAACGACACGCAGCTCACAGAGCTGCATGCGCCCGAATCCTCCACCAACACGACGCCGCTGGCGCTCGCCGACCCCCAACACAACCAGCTGTCGCCCTCGAAGAAGAACGGCCACAAGAAGCACGGCCACTCGCACGGTCACGGCCACTCGCACGGAGGAAACTGTCACTCGGACCAGGAGATGAAGGATGCGGGGATAGCCAGCATCGCCTGGATGGTCATCATGGGAGACGGCATGCACAACTTCAGCGACGGCCTCGCTATCGGTAACTGGTTCCAACCTCGATTCAAACCATCCAAACCAACTTCCTGAGCAACTCATTTCTTTTGTTCTTTTTCACAGGAGCTGCTTTTAGTGCCAACCTAACGGGCGGCATCAGCACATCTGTGGCTGTTTTCTGCCACGAATTACCTCATGAACTGGGTAGGTCCGACAAGAATGTGTGTAAGACCCCGTAAAAGTAGATTATTTACTTGTTTAAATGCACACATCTACAGCTGATTCAACATGGCTGCCACAGCCAGTGTTGTATAAAGTACCTCACAGTGATACTTGAATAAAAGTACAAGTATCTTATCATAGAAATACTTTGGTAAAAGTTAGTCTTCTCTAAAAATATTACTTGTGTATAAGTTTTAAGTAGCTGATTTTTTTTTCTTAACGGCACAGTGTGTAGGATTTTGTCAATTCTTTTAGCAGAAACTGAAA